TCATTCATGGATCGTATCACCAGCATCCCTATCCCAAGCATCAAGCTTAAGATCTCACCATTTGATAGATAAACAGATCCCTAGACTCACATGACCTTATTTTTCATTGTAATGGGGCAAACTCACTTTAACAATGGATAATGGGATGCCGTCTATTGCCAAATCTTCATCGAGAATGTTACAAAATTGGTTCTCCCAATTGGAGGCTAATACTATCAATAATTTAGACCAGCTATGAACCATATTTATGAAGCATTGCTCTATGAGAAAGAAGCTTCTGACACCGACATTTGGATGATGTCTCAAAGAGAAGAGGAATCGCCCCGTCCCTTCAAAATGACAATAAAAATACCGTTTGCCACGAGTCATGCTCACTTAACAAATTATCCACTTTGGAAGCCGCTCTCCACCAACCTTCAAGATATATGGAAATGGATGAAGAAACGAAAGCTCTTGCAGGAAAACATGTTCCAACATCAAAATATAAGGATAAGGCACATGAAGAAAACAACGATTGATGAAGAAGATGCAGTGGATGTAAAAGAGACAAAGCGTCCTTCACAGATTGGACTTGTCAGATCAGTGAAGGAAGCAAATATGATGAGAGAGTGGGAAATAAATTCCAAAAAGTTGATCAAACAAACCAAGATTGAATACATGGAATAAAGAAAAAGGCGAAAGAGACAGCTTCGAAAATGCTCCAAGTTCCAAAATAGAAAAGGCCATACTACTTAAGAGTACTGTTTTGACTTCCAGAACTACTTTTAATCAAAGTTTCATGTAGAAGGAATAAAGCAGCATGAGGATTACCTTCCAAGAAACAACGACGACACGAACAACCCCTCAAACTTGTTTTCGATCATGGTGTGTAATATCCATTGGTCAAGACTTTTATGATTGTCGGTGTGTAATATTCTTCAATCTAACTCAATCAAACTTGGTGCGTCATATCCAAGGGAGATTGTTATAGGGTAGTATCAGGAGCCTTTGTGCACCTCTTATGTCACCTGTTGATCCACATCCCTTGATTGTTTGTTGCTTTCTGCTCATTCGATGGAAGACTTATCCCTTACCAATTTCAAAGTGTAGTCCTTGGGAGGTTTTCATCAATATGTGTGACGAGCATTATTCTCATTTCTGCCATCTCGTCTCGAGTTCGAGCTAATTGAGTCGGGGATCTCGGTCTCGTTGCACGGTTCCACACTCGAGATCCAGTTCGATCATTAGGAGGGCTTCGATCTGAGATCGTGTTCCTCTCGGCGATCAAGGTTCCGATCGGTGGAGTCTGTTGATTTTGGGTCACGTTGGTGGTCTCGGTGACGTTTATCCGGTCTACATGTATCAGATCGGTTCCGAGAAGGTTTCCTGTTGGAACGACGTTTGTTCGATCGATGGATGCCGGGATGGCTCTCAGAGGGTTCCCGGCGGGAGCGGTGTCGGTTGATCCAGATCGGACGTTGTCGGGGTTGTTCGCGTTGGGATCCATACTCGTGCTTAGAAATCCTAGATCGGGTTCTTAGCAAGGGCGTTTTGCGTTTATCTTCCTCACAGGCGGTGCCAAAATGTAGATCCTAAAATCCACACTCAATGTGATCAAGATCGGAAACAACAACAAAGAGTGTAAAAAAGCGAACTAGAAATCTAAAGAAATGAGGTCGATGTGATCAGCGAATAGCTCTACGGTTTTTCTCGTGTCTATAGTCTCTTTGTCTTCTAACCATCTCCGCGATCTCCTGAATCTTATCTTCCACCTTGCAAGGTCCGGCTCGACGTCAGTTTAGTGATTACTCCAAATGGGTTTGGGCCTGTTCAGATAAGTGCAGAAATTGGGTCCAACAATACCAATTGTCCAAGATGTGGAGAAGTAGAGACACTGATCCATCTCTTGTTCAAGTGTCAGCTCAACAGGTATGGCAACTAATTCCCCTTCTACACTCAGTTCAACGAGAGTTTCAAGACCGCAATGGTTTGATTCCGACAAGCTGTCTGTCTCCCTCCAACTGGTATCTCATCTCACATTCTTCCCTGGATTTGTTGGTCGATTTGGACAGCTGAAAACAGTATGATCTTCGAAGAAAAATACCTGACAGATTGGGAAGTGATGAAAAAAATATTAAGCCTAGCACGAGAATGGAATAAAACACAAGATTCGTAATTTAAAAGAAGAACGGATTATATTAGAAAAAAAGATCTTTACCTAGAGGAACTCCAAGGTCCGATGACCAGCCTCAAGGCATGTTTCGAATGTCAAACGCTCATCAGAGCAATCTCTTCCAAACACCAAATCAAGGAAATCGAAGGAATCTTGCTGATATCAAGCAGATCTCGTTGGTGTTTAATACTATCTCTCTATCTGGTAACTCAAGAGCATGCTCTAGAAAAACGGGTCTTGCGCTCTATTCATTTTGTAATGGACTCGATTTTGGGTTAAGTTTAGGCCCTAAATTTTGGGTTAAAAACCGACTCTTAAATATCTTATGTAAAAATTGATTATTAGTTTTTAGGGGGTTATTAGAACTAGAATTTGGAAAGAGTTGACAGATTTAACAAATATTCTCTAAATTTCTGTCAAATATTTTGTATTGATTTTAAGAGATTGTTATTTAATATTATGGATTTGCACAATATTTTTACAGCGGCTTTTAACTAAAAAACTAAAAATCGACTTTTAAATGTTTTATTTATTATTTATGTTAAGAACTCCACCCTAAGAACCCTCTCATTAATCATTATCTAAGAAACTTTATCACTCTTTCTAAAAGTGTACAAATGCTGAGTGTATACTCGATAGTAATCACATTCTCATATTCCGTAATATTATACCTCCACCTGCTCGTCTGTTCCCACCTAATATTCCGTAATATTAAATTTGGTTTTAGTGTTTCTAAAACTTAATCTCACCTGCTATCTGTTCTTCATATACAGTTTTACAAAAGCCAAATAATTAATATGTAGATCTGACTTTTGTTGTTTGTTTGTGTTATTCTTTAAGATACTATCATACGAACTAGCTCTGTAACTTTGTATACTTTCCAAAGATAGCGAAGAAACTTTGCCACTTATTCCTCTCTATATCATGGCTTCTCCCTCTTCTTCTTCTCGGCCACGCACATGCATGGAGATACCGAGTCTTCACTAGATTCCATGGCCCCGACGTCCGTAAAACCTTTCTCAGTCATTTGCGCGGACAGTTCAACAGAAATGGTATTTCGATGTTTGACGATCAAGGAATCGAGAGAAGCCAAACCATCAAACCTGAACTCGTACGAGCTATTAGAGAATCGAGGATCTCGATCGTGGTGCTCTCGAAGAACTATGCCTCTTCCTGCTGGTGTTTAGATGAGTTGATGGAGATTTTCAAGTGCAAGAAAGATAAGAATCAAATAGTGATGACAGTCTTTTACAGCGGAGTAGATCCATCCGATGTGCGGAACCAAAATGGAGATTTTGGGGAAGTTTTCAAGAAAACTTGTGCTGGTAAAACAAAGAAGGAGAGGCGAAAATGGAGCCAAGCTTTGACCCGTGTTGGCAACATAGCCGGTGAACACCTCCTAAACTGGTAATTTTACTTTCCTTTAAATAATTTTCTTTCCAAATATAAGAGATCTGTCAATAAAATAAACAAATATTTTTTTCTCTTCTTTTAGGGACAATGAATCAGAGATGATTGAAAAGATTGCTAGAGATGTTTCAAACAAACTAAATTCTACAATCTCTAACGATTTTGAAGACATGGTGGGTATTGAAGCACACTTGGAGAAGATGCAAGCTTTGTTACATTTAGATGTTGGTGATGAGGAGGGAGCTATGATTGTTGGTATATGTGGCCCTGCAGGCATTGGGAAGACTACTATTGCTAGAGCTTTACATTGCCGACTCTCTAGCAGTTTCCAGCTTTCTTGTTTTATGGAGAATATTAGAGGAATCTATCCTAACGGTCGTGATGAGTATGGTTCTAAGTTGTGTCTACAAGAACAACTTCTTTCAAAGATTCTCAACCAAAATGGTATAAGGATATACCATTTAGGTGCTATACCAGAAAGACTATGTGACCAAAAAGTTCTCATCATTCTTGATGATGTGGACGATCTGCAGCAACTTGAAGCTTTGGCTAATGACACTAACTGGTTTGGTCCTGGAAGCAGGATTGTCGCGACCACGGAAGATCACGAGCTTTTGGAGCAACATGGTATCAACAATACATACTATGTGGACTTTCCACCAATAGAAAATGCATGTATGATTCTTTGTAGATATGCTTTTAAACAGGGATGGGCACCATATGGTTTTGTAAAGCTTGTTGAAAGAGCAACGGAGCTATGCAGCAACCTTCCATTGGGTCTTAGTGTCATGGGTTCAATTTTACGCGGAAAGAAAGAAGGTGGCTGGGGAAGTATGTTGCATATGCTAGAAAAGAGCAGTATAACAAAGATCGATGCAATACTAAGAGTTGGATTTGACAGTTTAGGTGAGAACGATCAATCTCTATTTCTCCTCATTGCAGTCTTCTTCAACTACTCAGACTATGGTCATGTGAAAGCAATGCTTGCTGGCAGTAACTTGAATGCCATACTTGGGTTAAAAACCCTCGCCTGTAAATCTCTCATACAATTATCGACCAGCGGAGAAATAGTGATGCATAAGTTACTACAACAAGTGGGTAAACAAGCAATTCAAAGACAAGAGCCTTGGAAACGCCAAATCCTAATTGATACTAATGATATTCTCGATGTTCTCGAGAACAATTCTGTAAGTTTTTCTGTCAGCTGATGTATACTTTAAACCAGATAATTTGGCAAAGGCCCACAGATCTTACCTGTTCTGTTTTGAATTTTATTTAGGGTAGTGGAAGTTTGATGGGGATACGTTTTGATATATCTACAATCAAAGACAGCATAGAAATAAGCCCACAAGCTTTGAAAAGAATGCGCAATCTTCAATTTTTCAAGATCTACAGCTCAAGACTGAATACAAATGTTAGAATGCATCCACCCGAGGACATGGATTTTCCACCTTTTCTTAAGTTATTACATTGGGAGGAATATCCAGGAAAGTGTCTTCCTCATACACTTAGGCCGGAAAATCTTGTCGAACTCAATTTAGAAAATAGCAAGCTCAGGCATTTGTGGGAAGGAACCCAGGTTTGTTTTTATAAGTTGTTTCTTACTTTGACTATATTGATCAGTTTCTTTGGCATTAGAATCTACAGTATAACTTCTATAAATTAATACTCGATAAATTAATAATCTTTATAAATTAATAAATTTCATCGATCCCAACTTGGACCGGTGTAAAATATGACACAAATCGATAAAATAATAAGATAATAATATTTTAAAACTGCCATGTAAATATATGGTCCCATTAAAATCATAAATTAATAATCTAGCTATATATAATTTTATATAAGTACAATCTAACATTATATTGTTGGTTTTATATTTACTATTAAAATACTTTTCTTTTTTTTAAACATTTCAATATATTTTGATAATATTTAGTTAGGGATTTTATATTTACTGTAAAAATACTTTTATTTTTTAAACATTTCAATATATTTTGATAATATTTATATAAATTATATCGAAAACCATGTAACAATTCAATGAAACATAAAAATATACAGCAAATAAGATAATAAAACAATATTAAAGTAAAATTTCTAAATTTAAATAATGTACATATGCTAAAATAAAATATTTTATTTATTTTATAAATAAAAATGGAAAAAATAAAAAATCTAAATAAGCAAACTTTCATAAATTAATATCTCTATAAATTAATAAAATTTTAAAATCCCAATATTATTAATTTATAGAAGTTTTACTGTATTTTGATAATATTTATATAAATTATATCGAAAACCATGTAACAATTCTATGAAACATAAAAATATACAGCAAATAAGATAATAAAACAATATTAAACTCTCTAAAATTTAAATAATGTACATATGCTAAAATAAAATATTTTGTTTATTTTATAAATAAAAATGGAAAAAATAAAAAAAAAATCTAAGTAAGGAAACTTTCATAAACTAATATCTCTATAAATTAATAAAATTTCAAAGTCTCAATATTATTAATTTATAGAGGTTTTACTATAGGTGGAATTTAAAAAAGCATCATTTATTCACCGATCTTAGTTAACCTTGCACCCTTTATATTCGTTTAAGAAAAATATGTGAAATCTTTATTCATATCCAATAAAAATCAACAAAATAATAACCCCAATTTAATTTACTTTGTACCCCAATTTTTAAAAAAATGAATAAGACATGTTTTTAAAAACCAGTAATCCATTATATGAGTTTGTTTAGATTTGTAAGTAAATTTATACACACTAATCAATAAACTGATTTTCTCTCATCTAAGGTATGTATTTCTCTCATCATTTTCATGAACATTCTTATGTTATGTGCTGTTATTTTTTGGGGGGTCAAATTTCTGCTGTTTTACATTCTTTTTTTTTTTGCTCAAATCAAACTTTTCATTAAACATATATTGAAATGAAAGATTTGACCACACAGGAGTTCAATCATACGAACAAGAAATAATCTAGGCTTCGATTGGTACCGCAGATAATAAATCAGTAGCAGTAGTATACTGTAGAATTAGTATGCTGCAGAAGTTGTACGATTTCATTAAAGTTTTTAATAAAGTGATTGGTGGAGCAGCAGTAGTATACAATTATAAAATATCATAATAATTAGTATAGTAACATATATATATATTAAAATAATATTTACATATTTAAAATATATACTAATAATATATTTTAATTAAAAATAATGAATCTTATTCATTATATAAATTATATTATAGATTATATGTGAAATATTTATTTAAAAATGTAAAATTTATGTTTACAGTATTAAATTATTTTGGATATAAACATAGTTTAATATTATTAAATAAATAAATTATTTCTGTATAATTTATATATAAAGTATTATAATTTATTTATTGGTAGAGCCGTAAATGATTCATATATAAATTATCATAAAATTAATATATGTTATATAATTTATTTATTAGTGTCTAAATAATATATATATAAGTTTATATCAATAATACATAAATATATATTATGTTATGTTGTTATTAAAAATAATGAACGATGTGTGTAATTATATAAAGGGGAATTATATTATATTTTAAATGTGACATATTATTCTTTTAAAAAAATTTCAAAATATTCAATTATAATTTTATTTTATTTTTAAAATAAAAATATAATTTTTGATTATAAAAATATTATATATTATTAAACAAAAATAAATATATTATATATAACTATTTTTAAAGTTTTATATATTATAACTGCAAATGGTCTTCCAAAAACTCCATATGAAAGCATAGCAAAAAGCATTTGCAGAGTATTAGCAGTTGGTAAATATTTTTTTAAATGTTTTTTGGTCAAATGTTGATTAGATAATAGAAAATATGATGCTCATGTTAATGCTCTACTAATTAAGTCCCTAGTATATTGACCTGGTAATTGTGGTCAAGTAGTAAGGAGGAGGGGTTGGGACACTAACATGTTTCAGCTTCGACCAACCTGCTATGTGAAACTAAGACACAAATATTCATGGTCACCTAACACGGATGTGGGCTCATGCTTTCGAGCCCATTTGAATACTCGGAGAGAGGGTCTATCCGTGGGCTGCACCTCCCCTTAAAGATTAGTCTGGACCTCTTCACGGGCCTGGGATACCCCCAGGTTAATCAAAAAAAAAAACCCCTTAGCATCGCCAATGAACACTTAGTTGGATTATACGCTACCCGATAGATACCTCCTTGTACCTTTTCAACCACAATGCGAACGAACCCTTAACCACCTAAATTAGACCAAAAAGATTATAACAATGTAATCCACGCGCAACTAAACTAAAACCAGACAAAAAACATTCGACCCAATACATTGCAGGACCGACCCATGTGTTTACACCATCCGGTGCACATCTGATCGGGTCACTGTTCACTTCTTAGCCAAAACCAAGAGAACCCTGTAGTCAAAAATGGGTTTGACAACGTCTCCATGGCCAAAACAGATATTGCTTTTGTTGGTGTGAAGATGGATCCACCGTCGGACAAAACAACCTCCGTCGATGCTTGGATGTGAAGCCCCACCACGTCCTTGCTGTAGAGTTTCTTCTCTAGTAGATCACTCTGGCGAAGAAATTCCCTAGGATGCACCGTCTACAAGAGAAACTGAACAGTTCCATCGTGCACCACCCGTCTCATCGCTCCTTCGATTGATTCACCGTCACTCAGGACTATAGATCCAAGGCGGAGGAGGTCTCCCACTGAGCCACACGCCGCCACCGTGAGAGAGCACCCAAGATCTAAAAATTGAATTCGACCCAGTTACTTCAACTCAATGCTAAACGCCGACCTGCCTCACCTCTGCCTTCTTGAGCCTCGCGGCTCCTCCAAGATCACCAAAATTTACGCCTTTGACAACAAGAGTCTCCAGAATCCCACCAATGAACCATAACAGCGAGCATATTGACTAAAGGGTAGGACTGGAAGTAGGGAGGCAAGGAGAAAAGGAGATATGAGAGGAGAGGAGGAGCACTCCAGTAACGACCACTTGCCAGATCAGAGGCATGATTTGTTAGTTTGTGTTCTAGAGATGGAGCAAGGAGATTCTAGAGAGAGAACTTTTTTATTGGAGAAATTGTTGTTTTACATTCAACCATTTTATTTGGAATTACTTAATTGTGTGATATATATACCCATTTGATACCTTTTAATTAAAGAAAACAACACATCTTGGTTCATGATAGGTGACTTTAATGAAATTACTTGTCACGAGGAGAAGGAAGGAGGCAGGCAACGTCCTGACAGCTCATTCCTACTCTTCAAGCAAATGATGTGTGATTGCGGTATGCTGGATTTTCCATTTATAGGGAACAAGCTATCTTGGGTAGGCAAACGAGCAGGGAGGACTACGGTCAGATGCCGACTTGACAGAGCTGTTGGGAATGAGGACTGGCATGAGAAGTTCCCTCATTCCAAAGTACAGTATATGAGACTATGGGGATCGGATCATCGTCTGATCTTAGCTGACATTCTTAAAAACAAACCAAGGAGATCTTAGAATTTCAAATTGATAAGAGATGGCTGGACAATGAGGAGCTCAGACAAATCATACTTGAGGGGTGGAAATCACCAGATGCAAGTATCATGGAACATATAGCAAGCTGCCGGCGAGCCTTAAGCAACTGGAAAAGGCAACATAATTTGAATTCGGAGAAGAGTGTAGAGGATTTGAAAGAAAAAGTGAATCAATTATCTTCAAACGATGATGCCACTACAGAGGAGATTGCAGCGGGTTAAAAGAATTGTTTGATACTCTTAAGGCAGAGGGGCTGTTTTGGAAGCAGAAGTGTGGAGTATTTTGGTTAAGGGAAGGCGATAGAAATATCAAATTTTTTCATGCCCTGACGAAGCAGATACGAGCGAGGAATAGGATTACACAATTACTGGATGAATATGGGAATGTCGTTGAGGATGAGGATGAATTGGTAGCCATTGCTACAAATTTTTAGACACATCTTTCAATCATCAAACCCTGAGGATATAGAGGAAGCGTTATCTGAGGTGTCCACAACCATTACATCAGCAGACAATGAGAATCTCACAGCTCCGGTTACTGAATGGGAGGTCAAATTGGCGCTTTTCGCAATGCATCCAGAGAAAGCTCCAGGGCCAGATGGAATCACTGCACTATTTTACAAGAAATTTTGGGATATTGTAAAGGATGATCTAACTCTTATTGTTAATCAATTCCAGTTTGAAGGCACGTCACCTACCGGTTTAAATGATACAAACATATGTCTCATTTCGAAAGTAGATAAGCCGAACCAGATGAGCCAGCTACGTCCCATCAGTTTATGCAACATTAATTACAAAATAATCTCGAAAGGTCCTATGCGAGAGATTAAAAAAGGTTCTACCAGACCGGATATCAGAAACCCAGTCAGCCTTTGTTGCTGGGAGACAGATATTTGACAACATTATGATTGCTCAGGAGATGTTTCATGCTTTAAGAACCAAACCGAGTGGACGAAATAAGAGGATGGCCATTAAAACAGACATGAGCAAGGCATATCATAGAATGGAGTGGTCCTTCATTGAGGCCACCATGAGAAAGATGGGTTTTTCGGAAATCTGGATATCCTAGATAATGCTATGTGTAAGATCAGTAAAGTATAAGGTCCTTATGAATGGCCAGCCAAGAGGGAATATTGTTCCAAAGAGAGGTCTAAGGCATGGGGATCCTCTGTCCCCTTTCATTTTTATTCTATGCACGGAAGTGCTCGTTAGCCTTCTAAATCACGCAGAGAATCAAGGGAAGATAACGGGGATGCGCATCACGCGTGCGTGTCCTTCTGTATCTCACCTTCTCTTTGCTGATCATAGTATGTTCTTTTGCAAGGCGGAGCCCCGTGAATGTGAAGAAGTAATGAAAGTATCAGAAAATATGGACAAGCCTCAGGACAATGCATAAATTTCGATAAGTCATCTCTACTCTTTGGTAAGAGAATCGGACAGGATGTTAGGCAAGCGATTAAAGACACACTTGGGATTCAGAATGAAGGGGGGATGAGAACATATTTAGGAATTCCAGAGGACATCAGCGGCTCCAAATGCAAGTTTTTTGCCTTCTTAAAGGATAAGTTAAGGAATCAGGTGAATGGGTGGACGGGAAGGTGGCTTTCAAAAGGTGGTAAGGAGGTTATGATCAAGTCGATGCCGTTAGCACTCCCAACTTATGTTATGTCATGCTTTCTACTACCATTGGAGATATGTGATGCTTTAGCTAGTGCCATTGCACAGTTCTGGTGGAGTTCGAACCCTCCAAAAAAAGGCATACACTGGACAACTTGGGACAAATTATGCTTATCTAAGGAGGAATGAGGGATTGGGTTTAGAATGATTCACGATTTTAACCTGGCATTGTTAGCCAAACAATTATGGAGATTGGTACAAAATCCAGTTTCTCTGGTAGCTCGGGTCTTGAGAGGCCGGTACTATTGATTGAGCTCGCATTTGCGTCAGCTTACTGTCAGTAGTCCATCTTATGTGTGGATAAGTCTATCTGCGGCACGAGAATTACTATTTCTGGGAGTAGACAGAAAATTCATTCGGGATATGAGGTGAAAGTTTGGGAGGATCCATCGATTCCTACCATTCCTGCGAGACCAGCATCCTCATCTGCACCAGCTTTGCATCCGAATATGAGAGTGAGTGACCTTATAAATCAAGAAAAAAAGTCTTGGGATTAGGGTCGACTGGAGAGCTACGTAACTGCTGCTGATATACCTCTCATAAGGAGTATGGCCATCAGTTCAACACATCGCAGGGATACGTATTGCTGGAACTATACGAGAAATGGACAGTACACAGTCAATATTGGAGTCAATATTCAAGCTTCTCAACTGAATTGGAAAAGCTCATGACGCTACGAATCTGCTTTCCTGACTTCAAGATATTCTATGTTCCTAGGACACATAATGATGTATTTGATTCTTTAGCGAAATCTGCTCGGTCTTTCTATAGAGGTCTCTTGTATGTTGGTTGTTCTATTCCGGTCTGGCTTCCCAGTTTGAGTAATAGATCAGCCTTTTGATGCCAAAAAAAAAAACAACCATTAAAATCATGAACTTTCAAATTAAAACAAAAAAAATCTCTAATTCGTGTTTGAGCCAAAAAATTCTCAACTTTCAAATATTAGTTGTTTTAATTTTCATATTTTATTGACTCAGCCATTTAAAAAAATCGAAGAATCAACTGTTAAAGTCGACTAAAAAATAAATGTATGTTAACTCTCTAAACGACATTTGGTTTAAAAACTGATTAAACAGTGACTAAGCAACGTCGTTTTTCTTCTATAAATACTTAAAGCATCTCTTTCGTGAAATAAGAGTGAGGAAGATGAAGTAGCTTTAGGGCTTTGGTTTCGCGAAAGTGATGCTGTAAATGTTTACATAAGCAAAACAACGTTGTTTGATCAATGATGAGTAAATTTTTGAAACAATGTCGTTTAGTGAGTTGATAGACGTTTATTTTTTTAATCGAGTTTAACAGTTGATTATTTAGATTTTTGAAATAGATGAGTCAACGAAATATGAGACTTAAAACGGGCAATATTTAAAATTTGAAGATTTTTTTGCCTCAAACACGAGTTAATGTTTTGGCTTTAGTTTGAAAGTTTGGAGTTTTAATGGCATTTTTCTCTTTTTAATAATAAAACTTATTTATACCAATTTATTGACTCTAACATTTTATTTGTATAAAAATTATTTAATGTCAATTTAACCGAGCATAATCTCACATATATAATTATTAATTATATGCTATTAAGAACAAAAAAAAATCTAAGAATAATAATCTATTATGAAAGCTTTATTATGTGTAAATGAATGCAATTTTTGTGTATGAAAGTGTAAATAAAATAATTCATGAATTTAATTAATTTCATATTAATTGAAATTATCTGGTAGCAACTATACCCTAAAATATAGTTACATTTAATTTTTAATTTGTTTTATATATTAATTGAGTGTTTTAGAAAATTATTTAATTTATTAAATAATTAAAAAGATAGTAAATAAAAATTAATAAAAAGGTAAGATATAATGTTTATATTGTTTGGACAAAAGATTAAGTATTATGTTTTTTGGAAACACATTTAGTAGTATAATGTTGTTTTCCATAATTATCGTTAATGAAGTTCTAATGTTTTTGTAACATCCCGAGTTGTGATATATGGAAAGGTTTAAGAGGATTGATTTGATTACCTATGTCACCAAAGTGCACTTACCTTTTCGGGAGCACATCCAGAGAGAACTCCAGAGTTAAGCGTGCTTGAGCTGGAGTAGTCAAATGATGGGTGACCTATCGGGAAGTGATTTGCGATACCGTGTAAGTGAGGCTAAAGCACGGGGAAAGGTCATGTGGTGGTTGCAGGGTCAGTAAAGATGACTCTAGAGCCTTAGAAAATTAACGGACCAACCGTTGGAACGGGATGGGGCCCACGAGCCGAGTGAGCGGACGTGGTGGTCCATTAGCCGTAGACGGTTGGGGCGTTACAGTTTTATTAATTATCAATGACATTTAAAGTCTGGCTAATGTAACCACGGCAGTTGTGGTGTGGGCGTTTATGGATGTAGTTGTTGTGGTTTTAAGCGTTATTAAGAGATTTGTACGACTAGTATAATGATTATAAATTGGTGCATTTGTAGGATATTTATGACTATTTAATTACCAATACAGCAGTAGTTAAATAATAAATTAACAATATTTACATTTTTATATAATCAGAAAAATATTATTGTAATAAATATCAGAATTATATTTATAAATCTATATTATTAAAAATTATTAAAAAAATATTTTAGTAATACAGTTTTATAATATAAATTAGAGTATAATATCTATATTTTAGTATTTATATTATTTCAATTTAAATTTTTAATTAAATATTTTTTTATTAATATAGATTTTTTAAAATAATATATTTTTATTTACGTTTCCACAACCACTTATAACCGTAAACACGAACTGAAATAAACTTTTGAATTTAAGAGATTGAGAAGATTTGAAGCGATTTATAAAATTTTATGTGGTTATTGTAAAATGCCAACAATCGTGACCAACCGTAGAAACTATATTTGCAGATGGTAGCAGCAAAATTAAGGTGGTAGTAGAAAAACTAATCATGTCCTTAATATAACATAATATATGTCTAAAGGTTACGTCCAAATAAATGTTTCTCTTTTAATAAGAGAGACAACATCAGTAATCCAATTTTGTTTAGATTGTTACTAGTAAGTACTAACCAATAAACTAAAAGTATGTATTTCTCTCATCATTTTTCTTATGTTATTGTACTATTTTACAATCAACCAATAATAACACAAGATCTGACTCTTTTTTTCTTGGAATAAATAAAGTAAATAACACACGTTATGACTATTTTCGTACTTCCTCATCATGTGTTGAATATTTTGTTTTGCTGTGTTGTTTCATATTCAGCCAGTTAGAAATCTGAAGAAGCTGATTTTGACAGCGTCGTATAATTTGGAGAAACTCCCGGATCTTGCGAATGCTACAAATCTCGAGATTTTAAAAGTGGCTGAATGTCGGAGTTTGGTAGAGATTCATTCCTCTGTTGGAAATCTTCATAAACTAGAGAAGTTGGAGATGGAACTTTGTAGAAACCTACAAGTTGTTCCGACTCTCTTCAATTTGGCATCTCTTCAATCTCTCTCGCTAGCGGGATGTGGCCTACTGAGAAAACTTCCAGATATTTCCGCGACCATCACAGTCCTCTCAATCATAGACACGATGTTAGAAGAATTTGCTGCATCAATTATGCTCTGGTCTCGTCTTGAGGTCCTCACTATAACTGGCAGTGTCATTCCACGTGAATATGTGACAGAGACACATGTGGTAAAATTGATGATAGAGAGAAGTGACGCAGATATTGAGAGAATTCCAGATTGCATCAAAGATCTTCATACATTAGAAAGGCTTCGTATAGTTGGATGTCCAAAACTTGTGTCACTGCCAGAGCTTCCTAGGTCGCTCACAACACTAGTAGTATACGATTGCGAATCACTAGAGACACTACTACCTTTCCCTAATGACTCTCAGATTAGAACTCTCCATTTCCCCAACTGCTTCAAATTGGATCCAGAAAGAAGGAGAGCAATTATCCAGCAGAAATCTCGGTCTGTATGCCTACCTGGAGGAGATATACCTGCAGAATTCAATCACAGGGCTATAGGAAACTCTTTGACCATCAATTCAAATGGCTGCCTATTTAAGATGTGTGTCATAATTTCCCCTAAATCAGAGATGGAATATGCTACTGATATAGAATTAGTGTGCCGCATAAGCATAAATGGTTGCCCCACGACGAAATGCATATTTTCTCGTTGCTTTGGAGTCCTCCAATCAGAAACATCTGGCTATATTTTCCTCTGATATTCCTTGGGGAAGATGGACAGTACAGAGAGATATTGTTAGAATTCAGCAGCTCATCCCAGGACATCGAAATTGTTGAATGTGGTGTCAAGATCTTTAGGGACCTTGTCCACTATATTATCCATTTACCTTTTGTGAAACAGTCGTTGGTGGAACAGTTTGTGGAAGACGGTCTCTGTGATGAAAGCATTGCTCCAGCAATAGTAGAGACCATGGTGGATTTGGGTAAAACCGCTGAGTGTGTTGCAGCAATAGAAAATATGGTTGATGATTATAATCTGAGCCTTATGACGAAAAACCTGATTGAAGACCAAGATAGAAGACCCTCTAAGAAGAGAAAACGATGATGATTTGATAGGTATATCTGCTTCCACTTCTTTTTTGCTTCGGATTTTGATTCCAACTTTTTTATCTTCTTTCTTGAGTATGTCATTATTTCACATACTCTGTTGTGGTTGACTTTGTAATTATCAGAGTGGTCCCAGTTATTGCCTATTAGACCAAGCTTTACAAGACATACCAAAAATCGAACTTCTCAAACCAAGCACAGACGCATGTGTACTCACATGATTTACTGCCTTCGGTTAACATCGATGACAAAATAAGACTTCCTAAGCCAATACAGAAGCTGATGGTCATAATTTGCAACATTATCCAAGATGTATTTATCCACTTTGCTTAGTACGTCACATTTTTTCCTTTGATTTGATAGGTGTTCAAAAAAAAAAGACAGAAAGAAAAGGTTACAAAAAATCGAAGCTAATTTCAGCTTATAAAACTCCGCAATATTCTCTTAACACATGAAAGTTGAACAGATCCTTCAACATAATCAAAAGGTAAACCAGAATTTAAAAGTAATGGTTGGTGCGTTTTAGCATCATCATATCATTCACCGAGAAACTGGTGTTTTTTAGCAGTGTTCATGTACGGTCTCAGAACCCATTCGACCTCTGCTTCATCTTGTTCCAAAGTTCCTAACTTCACCTGCAAATAAACAACATTGATATTAATGAACATATACACAGAATATATATAACATATTTTCAAAATACATTTAACAAACGAAATCTACATTTTGTCAAACTAAATAAAAAAAAAGAGAGTTTCAGGTCAGTTATCAAGAGACTAAAAACAGAATAAACCGAGTGCATAGTACCTGGTAGAGCCGCAACTCAATGACCATTTTCTTTTAGCTCAATCGATTTCGGGCCTCCTTCTCCTTTATCATACACATGATTCCTATATATATACACGCCCATAAGAATTTTCAAACAAGAAACGACACAAAACAAAACATGCAAACATAGTTTTCTGGAACTTAGTTATTATGGAGAAAACTTGTATACCTGAATGAAATGTAATCAGATTCATTAGAAAACGTAACTATGCGCTTTGAATCGAGTTTAGGAACAGGGAATATGTGTTTTAAGATGTTCATAACTCTCTTACCCATCTGCCAAAAGATCAACATATTTTACATTAAAAAAAAAGAAGAGTAAATCAACTCTACAAAACTCGTTCAAATTGCAATAAAGGAAGTGAAGTGTTCAACATATACAGACCTGGGTTGTAAAGCGTTCAAAAATGAGATGAGGATATTGCTCAGACATTTTTCCCATTTCTTTCTTGGTTTGAATTTCATGTCTTGTTACCTTAAAACAAAAAGGGGTACTCTGGATTAAGCAAAGCAAAGTGTTTCTGAATATATAATAATCTCAAAGAGGTACTTACCACATTAAGTAACTGAAAGTAGGAAGTAGGTCTGAATGGGAGATGAGAGATGATAAGACCATCAGGCTTACCACGGTTCTCAGATGCAATTACAAATATCACATCAGTAAAATCATGAGAACGCCCAGTTTCAATAATCTCAGATATGACCTGCAATGATACAAGTTCCAGCATTATGTTCCCAAAAGGATTATATAAAGATCACGCTTAGTGATGGTTACCATAGTCACACATGACAAGGAAACAAAATGGTCCAAAAGGATTATAGATACTGTAAGCTCAAGGTTTGTGAGCTTGTTCCGGTTAAGATGAGAGTGTGTTACACAGTGCGATGATTGTGTAACACAATGCAATAAGTTTGGTACGTGTAATGACGTGGCGTAAACTTATGGAAATAGAAGATATTGCTAGGGTGCGAAGCAAAGAAGATCTTCTGGTTGGCGATATTTTAGGAAATAGAATATTGTCTTTTTCATGCCTACTTAACGAGGCAACCTAAGAGTGTTTTAGGTTAAGCGTTAAGAGAGAAAAAGCTAGAGCAAGAGAGTTGTTCTTGTCGGCTACAGAGATCAAGAAAACAGGGGTTTGGCTTGGGTTTCTGTAACTTAGAGATTAGGAACTGGTCCGTCGCTAGTCGTGTGTGACTGAGCTTAAATCGGATTAAACAGATCTAGGAAGATTGTTTAAAAGGTTTCTAATATACAAGAAGTGTTCTTGAATAACTTGTGTACGGTTCTTATTTGCGTGTCTCTGAACTTTCATTTGGTATCA